ATTTATAATATAACTACTTTGTCCCCGTCATCAAATGTGAAAGCAATTTTGAAGTTTTTGATAAGGCCTTTATATAAACTATGGATGAAGATTTTTGTAAGTACAACTTAATTTCTATATTTCTTCTCCTTTTCGTTCGTTTACCTTTCAGTCCATATACGTCTTGGTTGATTCCATAATTTTTTTTAGGAATGAGCAGCACCAGCCACTTGGTTAACAAGAGGTTGATGCTTTAAATTGAAGTTACAAAACAGTTTCTCAATAACTCCAGTTGGATATGCGGCTAATTTTGACTATCAGATAAAATTGAAAGAAAACGAAAAAAAAGGCATGCAAAAGTTTCTTCTCAATTGTTAGCTTTGGAAATTTTCTTTAATATAGAAGGAAAGATCTTTTCGCATTGGACGGAATTTTCAACTTTTTATTTAAGTTTTCAGACTTTTAAATAGTGTTTGATACAAACATGGGATTTTCAGATTGAAGACAAGGAAAATATCTTCATTCATCAGTTTGATACCAACATCAAAATAAAAATGAAAACAAGAAATGAAAAAAATATATATGGAATAATACTTAAGTGTGTTATATGGAATGCTGTATAAGAAAAGAAAAGAAATTTAATTATAAAATAATCTGATTTTAATCCAGTTTCTCCCGCCACAACTAATTAATTGGCATGTAGTTAATTTGTTTATTGCTACTTTTAAATTCTGGAGAAAATAAAATTTAAAAATTCAGAAAGATTTATTATGTGTGGTATGAAGTTATGTTAGCGAACTAAAATATTTATAACCTAAGTTCAGTTCTCTGTGTATATGTGTACGTATTTGAAACAGAAACAAAAATAAAAGAAAAATTAAATAAAAAAACATTCTATGGCGTTTTGTCAGAAACAAAAAAAATTCTGGGAAAATGATTGAGGAAAAAAGTACATTTAAAAAAAAAGAAAGATGGCGGACGTAAAGTTGGTCCACTTTTCAATCTGATCCGACTATATCAAAGCATCTTAATATTGAACAACGGTTTCACACAAAGTAAGAATAAATAAATAAATAGTGATTGAAAAAAAACAAAAAAAAACTTCAAATTAAATAGCACCACACAAGGAAACACATACTGAAAAAAAGGGTGAAGGGAACCGCCTGGCTGACAACATAGTGTTATAAATATAGATTCTTAAAGAAGGGTTTTTTTTAATCCCTTTGTCAGGCAAACGAAAACACTGACAGTCCAGGTTTAAAACGACCATCTGTTCAAACATCACAGCACCATCATCATCGGCAAGATTTTCAATGAAAAGTTTAGTTAGCATTCATAATAAATTTGAATTTTTTTTGGTTTGTATTACTTATTCCTTTAAAACATTAGCTTTTCAAACAGCAAGTGTCGTTGACTAGAAAATCTCCATTTATTGTTTTCTTTAGATTTAACCATGGTAAACGAATTAAGACGTTTTATGAGCTAGTTTAATATTATAAGTTGTATTGGTGAATGAACACTCTTTATAATTACGTTAATTATTCAATTTAATTAATTAAATTATGACTGTAAACCAAACTTTTAAAAAAAAGCTGAAAGAAAAACAATTTAATTTTCTGTTTTTCTGCTGTTATTCACGACTTTTGTTCCCCGTTTTCTTTTATTTCAAACTTTGTATTCGACATTAGTGACCGACGCTTACTTTAAAGTTAACATGTGTTTGCAGTAATCCAATACTCACATTAAGATGTGGCAGACGGAGGCAGACGGTTGTATTTGGGATGCGAATCGACCCAAGGACATTCTCCCAAGACTCGGGCATCATTCTATCGTTCTCACGAAGGAATACAATTCTTGGAGAAAGATTTTTTTTCTCGGCTTCTTACTTTTAACCCCAAAGGTCACGAAACGCATTCGCTTTCATTCCGATTCAAAGTACCGGAAATGTTGTGTAATTGTATAACCATACAAGTAGTAAAGGCAACGAGAAAAGAAAAAGAAGTAGAAAAAAAAAAAAAAAAAAGAAGAAAAGAAAAGGAGAAAAGTGAAGTGAGAAGCAAATTTGGACCATTTTATTTCGTCTTCTTGCACGTGATTTATTAAAAGATGTCATCTGTGAGAAAATTCCCAGTTCAATAATATAGTGACAGTTTTGAAAAAAAAAAACAAAAAACAAAAAAAACAGTGACAAACTTTTTCTTTTCTTTCTTTTAACGGTCCTTATTTCTAGAGTCGGTTTTCTGTGGCAACCGTTTTTATTTTGAAATAGAAATGGAAATCCGAATATTTAAACTTACATCTTCACTTCACGTTCTCCTATCAATCCAGATTAATTTTGTGATTGGACGGAATGATCAGCATTAAACACTTTATTAGCCAATTGAAACTGAGCTTTAAAATGAGCTTTAAAAAACCGTTTTAACTGTCTTGTGGCTCGAGCATCCTTTCTTATGCATCGAATATAAACTTATTAAAAAATTTAAATTTGGTTCGTCTCGCCATGATACAGTTGTTAGTTTCGTAGCCTTTACTAATGTAGGGATCTCGTTCCTTATTTGGTAACTTTTGAGGCCTTGAATCAGACTAAGTTATGTTTGGTAATTGAATACAAGAATAAAACTATGTAATGTTTTACCGATGTCTACCTTGTGCTTATATTGAAATCTTCGCAAATCAATAAATCAATCAATCGGTCATTATTATTATTATTATTATTATTATTATTTACTAACTCTGAAAGATTGGATTCCATGATGATGATGGTGGTTTGTGATGATGATGATACAGCTGTGAGCGTGAAAGATTCCTTTTTCAAGCAGAAACCACTTTAAATGGTAAATAAATACAATGAACACAAAATTTGGTCAAGGTTTAAATAGAACATAAATAAAAGCTGAACGAGAAACATATGAGGTGGGGGGAAAGTCAATGTCGACTTTCCATTTGCACGCTTTAATATTATTAAGTTAATTATTTTTTTTTCACGTTAAATTAGGAACAAAAGGTTTTAATGGACAATGGATTTGGGGTGGATAGGAATAAAAATACACCAAAAACTATTTATAAAGTGACACTGCAATCTCACGGTTATCAGGACGGCAAACAGAGAGAAATTGGTTTCGAATGGCAAAAGAAATTATGGACAAATGATTTAAAAATTCAGATGAAAAAGAAATTTAAAAAAAAAAAATAATCATTCCAAATGAAGGTTTTTTTTTTTTTTTTTGGGACATTCAATCAAATGAATGTTGGGGCGAGAAGTGATCCCATTCATTTAAACGACTGACCCATCAGTTTCTGATGAGCGTATGACTGGGATAAAATATATGCTCCGATAGGCAAACATTCGCAACTAATTTCAGGTTTCAAACAGTTTTCTTACAAAAATAGCCTTAATTCAAAAAGAGAAAAAATTGTTCAATTTAGAAATGTATCGACAGATGAATGAAAAAAAAAATGTTAAGTATGGCCGCGTATAAAAATAAGACAGAAAATACAATATTTGAAATATTTTAGAAAAAAAGATATGTTTTGCTTAAGGCTTAACTGGTAGAATTGATCAATTATCTGACCACTTATCTCTGTTTGCAGTTTCTAGATATTTTTTTTTTTAATAATAGATTTAGTTATTTAAAACGAACATTTTTCATCAGTCGTCTTATTTGGTGACTAGATATCGACAGTGAAATTTATGGAAGTCTCTTCCTCTTGATTACGATGAGAGAAAGATTTGGAGTAGTGTGTTTTTCAGGTAATTTTTTTTATTTTTATTTTTTTAGGGAGTGGGGAATTTTGGAGAATCAGCATTTGTTAAAAATTCAAGATTCTTGAAAATTAAACTAAACTGATTTTGGTCCTTTCAAATAAATTTGGGTGAGAGTTTTTTTTTTTTTAATTTTTTTTTTTTAAATTTTATTTTATTCGAAAACGCCGAGGAGTAATTTTTTTTGTTTGCGTTAGAAATAATCACTCGTAAAAGGCGCTTTCTTTTTTCTTTTTTTTTAAATAAAACTCCGCGTAATTATGAATTTCGTGAATGAATATTGCAAGCAAACACACAAGAAAAAAAAACCAAAAAACAAAAAAAAAAAAAAACCCCAAAACAAAGTGTTTAACTAAGAAAGTTCAAACCACACACACTAGCGAAATATAAAGACGGGTGAAAATGAAAAGCTTACGGCCGTATCACGTCGAAACACCGGTTCTCGTCCGATCACCGAAGTTAAGCAACGTTGAGCCTGGTCAGTACCTAGATGGGTGACCGCTTGGAAATACCAGGTGTAAGCTTGGATGTGCCGTTGGTGTAATGGCTATTAGCTCGGAATGCGAAATCGTAGAGCCGAGTTCGAATTCCAGTCGGGTTCCTTACATTCACTTACACGCAAACACCCTTAGACGATCGTGAATCGAAAAAGAGCCATGATCGCCCAAGCGTGTCACATCCACCCCACTACCAACATACATTGGCCCATTCCTCAGCGTGAATCTGGGGAGGGCCTATGTCCTACAAAGGATCTTCATAGGCGGAGAAGAATGTTTTGGTTTCATTTTGTTCTTATCACCTTATCACTAAGCCAACGCAAGTCTTACTTTTCCATTATTATTATTATTATTATTATTATTATTAGAAATATGTACACTAGAGATAAATGAATTTATGCTTTAACAAGTTCAGCATAAAAATTCATACTTTCTCTTTTGTGTTATCAGATTTCTGATTGGAGAAAAATAAATAGATAAATAATTTAATTGATAAATAGGACATTTGGTTTATAAATAAACTTTGGGTACAGGCACCAACTGCATAAAAATAATTTTATGCAAGAAGGATTTTATACTTTTTTTTAGAGTGGTAGACAAATCCTGGTGTTTAAAACTAAACTTCAATCGTTTTCGTAAAAGGACTTTTCAAGAAAATAATTGGCATGTGGTGATGTTAAGAGATTGATGATCCATTCACGAAATTCAATCATTTGGTCATTTAAAAAAAAAAGCAGAAAAAAAGGCCCCTTTATTAATTTTTAGTGTCGATATCTTTGGCCCCTCATGCAAGAAGATTCTTCATGTTTATAAAGGTAGCTTTTCAGAGCAAAAGCTTTGCCGCACCGACCACAAACATAGGGTTTCTCGGTCGAGTGAGTCTGAATATGGGCTCGCAAATTGGATTTGTCGGCAAAAGCCTTACCACATTTGGGACATGCAAACGGTTTTTCTCCTGTGTGCGTTCGTATGTGTCCTTGTAGCAACCAGGGTCGGCTGAATCTTTTCCCGCAGTAAGGACACTCACAGCCTTGCGTGTGCGTGCGAACGTGCATGCTATAAGCAGGCATTGATACATACACCTTCTCGCAGTGCGGGCATTTGCGAGCTTTCTTGTCGCTGACGCTTCTGTGCGTTTGTCGGTGTCTCGCCAAGTTACTGGACGTACTGTACCGCTTCCCGCAATCGATACAGATATGCGTGTCTCCTAAGTTGCCCATTCGGTTGGCTTCCATGTCGAATGAAGTTATCGGCGGCGAGCTGGAGTCTGCTTCCAATTCGCCTCGGCTCATGGAATAGTCGGAAACAGGTTGTTGGAGCGTAGGGAAATAGGTTTCGGACCAATCGTGGCTGTTGCATGATGTCTTCGTGCAGGGACTGTGGCTCATCAGCTCAAAAAGGAATGATGAATGCTCTTTGCATTCTAAAGAACTGTACTCTGTATCCGAAAGCGTCAATTCACTGCGGCTATCAGTTGTCGGGACCGAACAGCCACTATCGCTGTCGGCTTCGTCCGATGAGCTTTTTGTGAGTTCGTACTCTGGAAAAGGGATTAAAAATAGCATTACAAATTGTTACACAATAATGGAATTTATTTTCTAAGAATAATAAAAGGAAATTTTGTTACGGAATTGGCAATTAGACAAATGCGAATAAATAACAATAATTACAAAGGAATTTATTTAAAACACGTGAAAATAATAATAATAATAATAATAATAATAATAATAATAATAATAGCCCCCAAAATTATTTTAAAAACAGTGAGTAGTCATTTGGTATTTACGAAGCTTAAACTAACTAGTAAACTAGCAGACTCCAAGAATATTTTTAAATGTCTTTTCGTGTGTGTGTGTGTGTGGGGGGGGTCATGGCTCTCCACAGATTCCTTTTCTGTGCATTACCTTGACTTTCTGGTAGGGATAATGGGGGAGGGGGCTTCCCCGTTGCCGTCTTCGCCGTTTGAAATTCAGAATTTTCTTTTTTTTTAGACTGATTGCGACCCAGCGCTAGAGAGCCCAGTCTACCCTGCCATTTAACCCATAGCTGGTGACAGAAAATATGGATTCATGCCTTTCTCAAGGACATCTGTGCAAAAGTAAAAGTAGCAAGCTAGGGTAAAATTTGAACCCGGCACCATTCAGCTAAACAAGCCTGATGATGTCCGGAAAGCTTAAATGTGCGGGTGGTGTAATGGATAATGACTCAGAATTGGAAATCGAAGAGCTGAGTTTTAATTCCTGTAGGGTTCGTTATATTCACTTATGCAGATAAAGTATGGATACCCAGATATGGGTAAATTATTATTATCTCCAAAAAGTTCTTACACACTAAATATATTTATTTGGCTTTGAATAGTCTTAAAAAGTTGATAAACCGTAAAAAATCAATCAGTCAACTTAGTAAACATCTGATTATCATCTTATTTTTAAAGCTCAAGTTTTCTTTCCTTTATAAAATAAAATTTATCCTTATGAAGGACTCTCTCCTAAAATAAGTTAAAAATAAACTTTATTCCCATGAAGGGCTCTGTCTGAACATAAACTAAAAATGAAATTCCTCCAGAAAGAATTTCTCCCAACTGACTCCTTAACGAATTGAGTGTGCTTGAAATAATTGACTCATGCCTTCTTTACAGCTTCCTTCATGACTCCTTGATTGGTTGGGGTTCCTTGCCCTTTTATACCTGGACAAATTCAATTCTACCTCTGTAATATTGTGAGCTTTTTGTCAGAAGTCCAGATTTTTGGCTTCGAGGTTGTTTCAAGATTTCTCAGTCATTTCCATTTTGACTGAACTTTGTCAAAGTTAACAAGGAATTGACAATAACTTCATCTGGACAAGTAAGTAACCACTCTCTCATAAACCTCCATCGCATAACAGTTTCAAGAGCAAAAAAAAAAAAAAAAAAAAAAAAAAAAGAAAAAGAAAAAATTAAATTCATGCATTTTCCCCAAGGGAACTGAACCTAAGTATCCCCGTCAGGATGCAGTCTATTTTATTGATTAATAATAACCAGTATCTGTCTATATTTCTGAGATGAGGTATTATGTACACTATTTACATTATTCAGACTATTGTCCTCATCTTTGTTGCCATATTTATTACAACGTTTCGGCCTTTCAGTATCTGTCTATATTTCCGAGATGAGGTATTATGTACACTATTTACATTATTCGGACTATTGTCCTCATCTTTGTTGCCATATTTATTACAACGTTTCAGCCTTTCAGTATCTATCTATATTTCTGAGATGAGGTATTATGTACATTATTTACATTATTCGGACTATTGTCCTCATCGTTGTCGCCATATTTATTACAACGTTTCGGCCTTTCAGTATCTGTCTATATTTCTGAGATGAGGTATTATGTACACTATTTACATTATTCGGACTATTGTCCTCATCTTTGTCGCCATATTTATTACAACGTTTCAGCCTTTCAGTATCTGTCTATATTTCTGAGATGAGGTATTATGTACACTATTTACATTATTCAGACTATTCTCCTCATCTTTGTTGCCATATTTATTACAACAAGGACACATGGCACAGTGGATAAAGACGCTGGCTACATACAGTGACAGGACCCAAAGCGTGTTAGTTCAATACCCGGTTAAGGTAGTGGAGAACTTGCAGGAGATAACTGATAACTGACATCCATTAAAACATGGCACGTGGAACTAGAACAGTCCACCCCAGTGAGCGAAATAAAGGGTTCAGTTCGACATTCCAACCACCTGAGCGTAGAACGGCCGAAACGTTGTAATAAATATGGCGGCAAAAATAGGGACAATAGTCCGAATAATGTAAATAGCGTAATAATAACCACGTTTCAATCTTCAATCCTTGTATTTTCAACGTTACAATTTTATGAAGTAATAATGAATGGATGGATGGATCCTTGACAAACGTTGGGACAACAACATCGTGAAGGCGGAAATACAGAGGTACGAAAACATGGCAAATCGAGGAAATGTTTCTTTTGTTTGGCACTCTCAGGATTATTTCCATGAAACTTTCTGCCTCGCAAGACGCCTTTGAGATAGATATCACTGGGAGTACTCAGGTGGCAGCACGCCTTGAAATAGTTCATGTGCTGCCGAAATTGTTGTACAGGAGCTGAGATATGACCACCATCACCCGGCCGGAACATTTAAGAGTCGGAACAGGTTCTCAGTACTACACCGGTTATGATTCACATGGCATGTGATCTTAACTGATTGGATGTGCGAACATTTTTACGATTTGTCTTGGTGAATTAAGATGGGCTACGGTAAATATTCCGTACAGTTGCACAGATATACTTGTCAGCTTTCTGATCTTAGTCAGGCGGGCATGTCCCTTTGGGGATGACGCGGACTCTGCATCTCTGTACATGGAGGGTTTAATGAGGGAACATTATGGTCGGGTGATAAAAGGTTTTTTTTTAAGTTTGGATGATGTGGCATCCAAGGTGACTTGGGAATCACATCTAGATACTGGGTAACATCTTTAATCAGAGATTGTCTAAACAACCTGGTGGTATTTCTGACTAGGCCCCACCTGCAAGTTTGTTCTCTGCTTTTATCAAAACATGTCACCGTATTGCGCATATTTGGCTGTGCTGCCTGAACCTGGTATACCCTTATATGTCATGATGGGTCTACTGGACAAGGTACATTTTCACCCCAGCGTCACTTTGTTCACATGTTGACGTTTCACTTAATAATCAAAGTAATCGCTTTTTTTTTCTTACCAACTTTAGAATGAATCGGTCATCCACATTTGTTTATTGGTAATAAATCGATATTACGTGCGATTTGATCGTCGAAGCAAAATCATTACCTGCTTTGTCGTTGCATATGTTGACCATGTTTGCCGTAATCTCTGAATATGGAATCCAGTGAAATCCGTAATCTGTTCAATATCAGAGGTCGGCAATGAAGATTCAGAGAAAGTAGCGGTTGTTAAGTAATTCTTTAAGTCTTCGATATCCGGTTGGCAGTGAGGATAATTTGGGAGAAAAAACAAAATGGCTGCCTTTATACACGTCGCATTGAATATTTTGAGCTTTCTGATTGGTTAACCCTTCTCTTGGTGGACTATAAAATGAGTCAGCTCATATATCCAAAAAACTGCAACAGCATAGTGGTTAGGAAACTGATTACTGGATGCCCCACACTTGTAGCCTTGTCTCAAGATTAGATTAAAGTCATTCAGTACCAGTCAAACTTCCCAAAATCTGTATTCTGATATCTGGTCATTGTAATACAGATTTTAGGAAATTAGTCAGGCTGCGAACGTTTCAGGAAACCTTTGTAAATGGTCAGCCAGTTATATGACATGCGATCATGTATCTTTCAATGATTTAGGTAGGTTGCCATTTTTTCTGCGGTAGAAGAGTCATACTTTTCCCAAGGGTATTAGTACGTAAGTGAATGTAACGGATTCGACTAGAATTCGAACTCGGCTCTCCGATTCCTCAATCCGAGCCGCTATCCATTAATCCACCGTGCCTCCTTGTAAATGGTAAAAGGGAAAATTTTTACAGTGCTCGCTTTGAATCAGCAATTACATTGTTACAATCTCAATCTGTTCAAGTCTAGAATTAACCGTTATCTTCCCCAAATAGGCTCATAAACTATTACTCTGTAACCCTCTGCCTGAAGTGGCTCTTGGGCCTTGTACAGGGAGAAAATAATTGGAAAAAAACTTACATTTTTTTTTTCATTTTTGCTTTTAAGTGTTTTGGTGGGGATTGTTTGAACGGAATTAAACTCATAGGCTCTGTAAAACCGAAATCGCCACCTTACTTTGTTCAAAAATTTTGAAAGTTAACCGAAATCTATATCGGACGTTTTTTAGCATGGCCACTTGTCAGTTCCTTGTAACGTTCAGACAATTTGAAACAAAACGTTAGCACGTGTGTACTGTGTGTTACGAGTACGGTTCTGTATATATGCGTGTACGTGTACTTGCTTGTTCATGTGAAGAAAAAGCGGGTAAAAACAGAATATGTAAACTTCCATTCCAATATTTTCCCAGCCTCGAGACGAACATGAGAAGGAGCAGCTGTTTTTTTTCTTTTCTTTTCTTTTTTTTCTTTCTTTTCTTGAAGCCTGAAGGTCTGATGGCATCGGCAGAATGGCCGGTTAGAAGACGAGACGGGAGGCGGTCTTTTTATTTTCATTTTTGATTTTGTATTTTGTATTTTTTCTCTCCAATTTCTAGGTCAGCTTTTGGCACTAAGATTGGGTGAGGTAAAGTGGGGGAGTGGGGTGTTTGTGCCTGTCTCATAATTGGAAGAAAAAGAAGTTAAAGCGGGAAAATTGCGAGAAACATGTTAGATCAAGGAACCAACCACCCACCCACCAATATCTATCTATCTATCTATCTATCTATCTATCTATCTATCTATCTATCTATCTATCTAGACTTTTCTCTATCTACCTATCTATCTATGCACACAGAATTCTCGTCACATGCACACACACACACGCAAATATGTATGTAAACACAAATGCGCGTGCGCACGAAAAACACACACACACACACACACACAAATACACACACACATACACA